AAGTATATTATTTTTTAACATATGTTTAACGGTTGTCACTGACAAATTGTGATACTGGAGGGGTAAATTATTAATAACATAAGAAGCTAAATACGAAAATGAATTTTTAAATTTTTCAGTTTTATGTGAAGGAATACACGCTTTGCTACTCAGTGATCTCAAATTTTTATTATGTGTTTCAGATCTCCATTTTATTTTATCACATAAATATGTAGGTTTGTTATTTTTTAAAATATTGAGTATAAAACTGGCAAAATGAATAAGTCTCCTCTCAGACATGCTCAACAAATTGAAGGAACGTAAATATGGAGTTATGTGACTAAACTGGGGTACATTCGCAATGAAACGGACGCAACAATTCTGTATTTTTTGCAAACGGTGTTTATTTTCTTGAGAAAGGCAGGGGCCATATATAACATCAGCATAATTCAAATGAGATAAGACTAAAGATTCAGTAAGTAAAATTTTGGTCTGAGGATTTAGATACTTTTTAAAGCATTGCAACTGTTTTAATGATAGAAAAGCTTTCTTACAGATAACGGTTACATGATTCGAAAAAGTCAACGATGAATTAAAAGTCAGGCCAAGACTTAATGACATGTTTTTAACTCGTACAGAGTATACAACAGTTTAATACATTTATTATTATAAAACTTATAACCAGTACTAGATGTTCTAATAACGATATGGAACACTTTAATAACAGTTATTGCTATTATTTCGTAAAGGGTATAAAAAACGTAGTATACTAGTTATACAATAATTTAATAAAGAATAAGGTTTATATTCACTATACAACTGTGCTAGCAATACGCGTTTTATATCCAATATTCACCTGTTTAACTGTCGCATATAGTATACAATGGTCTTATAATGGTATATAGAATTCTAATAAGGAATAAAACGCATTTCTTTCAGTGTAGTGTTATAAAAAAATGATTTTGAAGTTGCAACCCAATTTTTTAAAAAATGAGCAAAGATAGAGCTCTGATAATTGGTCAAAAGTTACTTCTATCAACAAGCAACACACTGAAGACACCATTGTTAAAAAACACGCCAGTGCAGATTTCACGTGGAAACCCGGTGAAACCCTTTAAGTACTGTTTTCATTAAATCTAGATACTATTCTGTAGATTATCTATTAAGGCAAAAGCTATGTTATTTGAATCTATTTAACAAAATAGATTTATAGACACCTTGGAGAATAGTAGCAAAGCATTCTTAGCATACTTCGCCTTCAAAAATTTATAGGTCTATTTAAATTTTTCGCCGTTTCTATTAGTACTTTTTTAACTACGAAAGTATACTTGTTAGTTTACAAACGCCTTTAACAGTAAAGATACCACACTATTTCTGACATATAACCTGAAAAAACAGTTGGTACTTTATTTATCAAAATATATGCATAATGTCAAAATTATATTTATTTTGATATTACCTACTTATTCTATTGTTTTCTTATACATATTTATTACTATTAAGATATGTTAATAATAATAATACTTTATTGGCCAACAGTCAAGATCAATAATAGGACAATTACATATAGAACAATAGGTAAAGTAATAATGACTAGTAAATAGAAAAAAAAGGGAGTAACTTATGTAACGAACTAACAGAAATCTTCATCTACAGTACCTACTTGAAATGTTTAATAAAATAGATTTTAAACTGGTATGATTTATATCACAGAGATGCGACACCATATTAAATAAGTTACACATTTTGTATATGTATAGGTGACTTAAATAAAAGATTAGTTCTTCTTCGCAAGCAATAAAAAAGACAATCAACTTGACCATTTAATAACTTGTAGAGGAAAGTGACTGAGTTTAATTTCCTCCTCAAATCTAAACTTTGAAACCCAAATATATCAATCAGTTGCCCTCTTTCAGGATAAGCATTATATATCTTAAAATATAAATATTTGAGAAATTTTCTTCGCGGTTTTTCAAGCAACTCTCTATAGCATAAATAGAATGGATTTCAAATAGTAGAGCAGTATTCTAGTTTATTTTTAACATACGAAAAATACAAAATAATGAGCGACGCGATATTAGTAAACGATTTACAGTTGCGAAGTATAAAACCGTAAGCCTTCATTGCATCATCGACCTTGGACACGATATGACATGAAAAAGATAATTCATGATCGAAGATCACTCCCAAGTCTTTAATTTTAGTCAAACGATTAATTTCGATGTTATGAATTAAGTAACTATAACAATAAGGTGATTTCTTCTTTGTAAAGCTAATAATATTGCATTTCTTAGCATTTAGATATAAGACATTCAAATTACACCAGGCTTCAATTTTGGCTATCTCTCCTTGAAGAACAACACAGTCATTTAAGGAAGTAATGTTTGAGAACATTTTTAAATTATCAGCATACATTAGTTTCCGACAGTTCAGAGTGGTAGTAAGGTCATTAACAAATAACAGAAATAACACAGTGGGCCCAAATTATAAAAAATCTTTCGGATAAATATGAGTGCAACATTAAGACTGAATCAGAATCGAAACCAAAGCTGTAAAGTTTTTGCAAAAGAATATTATGATTATTTCTCTCAAATGCCTTTGCAAAGTCGGTATATACAACATCGAACTGAACTCCACTGTCAACCGCTTCCAATGCATACTGGGAAAGAACGGCCAGGTTGTTGGTTGATGATCTCATTTTCATGAAACCATGCTGACATCGACATATTTGTTGAGAAACCGAAGAGTAAGTTCTGTTATACAAAATGATTTCAAAAATCTTAAAAAAATTACAGAGATCGGCCTATAATTAGTGATATCAGCACGTTCGCCACTTTTGAAAATAGGGCACACTTTCGCCTCTTTCCAACTTATAGGAAAAACTCCTGTTGTCATTGAAAGATTATATATTGCCAGTAAAGGAAACATTAAAAATAATATTCTTCATCGTTAAACGCGTTTATCTCGAAGCCAGTTTGTTATATCGATATCAAATAGGTAAACGTTAAACGGAAATCTTAAAAACGGTGCAAAAATTAAAAAGTAGGTCCATATTTGTAGGTCCAGTAGATTATTGGACGCTAATATAGCTATTAGTAAATTGAATACATTAGTAGAATTTGCTTCAAACAACATAATTTTTATCCGAAAAGCATCAAAATTCAATGGAAAACAAAACAGATATAGCTAATAATTCTACAGGCTGACCCAAATAAAAAAATATATAGATAAGATCTAGTGACGTTATTTTTGTTAAGTCCTACTTAAACCCAACCCGAACTCCCTGTATAATACTACTTTTTTTAAGGTGCTGGAAAAGTACCTCATGTAGGAGACAACCACTACCTGTGGACTATAAACAACAACAGCAACGTTCATATTTACCCCGTCGCCGACGCTCTAACCAGTCGAAGATATGTCAAACTCTTCACAGACTTTAGTAAATACTTGTAAGTATCACCGAGATAACACAAAAGGTGAATTTATGACTGAGCTTGGTACCTCCATGGCTTTTTTACTTTTCTTTTGTTTTAATCCCACTTCTGATAAAGCGCGGTCGTAATATTGATCACGGATTGGAAGGAAGCCAAGTGTCTTCAAATATATTCACCGACTTGCATTCGCTGTCGATAAAATGTAATTTTGTAGTCGATGTTCGTTTGTAATGGTCTTTTTGAAGTAATCTTAAAATTACGTCTTACCAATTTTCTTCTTGATACTTGAGATAAAATTTAGATTCAAATAAACATGAAATTATTTAAAAAATGATAATACAAGAATTATAGACACTATTAAAATAAATCTAAAGTGCAATACTGGAAATAACTACTATACTCTACTATGCCTTGTTCATTTGAAATAAATGGAAGAAATATCCATTAATTGATATTTCAAACTGTAATTGCATAATAGATACATTTTTAACCATATAGGTAATATTTTGTTTATTTATTTGTAACATAAACTGCCCTGCCCCAAAATACACATTTTTAAGCGGCGATATTACGGGAAATAACTACCTGACTACCTTTTTATTACACCAGTAATGTCATTAAATATAGCTACAATTTTTTGACCAAATGCACCAGATTTATACCAGTTTAGAACTTGTTAGTTCAGTATTCTGTAGGTGGGACAACCACCGAATACCTGCTTTGATTTCTTAAATGTAGGAGAGGAGTAAATACAAGTAGCAGATGTAACTAAATCTAATTGCTACAGATACCAACCAATAAGATTTACAAAGAAGGTAAAAATATCAGAGAGCGACCTGTACCGCAGGTACTACGAAAACTTAGCCATATAGCCCTCTGAGGGAGGAGTAAACGACTTCTATGCTGCCTATATGCCCAGACTAGCATTAGATTACATCAGCATTATCATAAAGTACAGTATACTATGCGAACTAACAGGTCCAAAACCGGTATATGTCTAGTGTGTTCAGGCCGACAAATGATTCTAGCTGTATCTAATGATACTGCTGATGTAATATATTGCTAATCGAGCCATATTGAAGGAAGCAACTGTTCCCTTCAAGGGGCGACACTGGCCATAGCATCTGAAATACAGATCGCTTTATGCCATTTTTTGGCCTCTTTGTAGATCTTAGGTTGTTAGTAGTAGTCGTCAGTAGATGTAGCACTCAGTTTTTTTTTCTTTAATGTAATTTAATTAATTAAAATCACAGAGCATCTAGAGTGTACGTTTCCTATCCCAAAACATGGGAACCGGTAAAGCCGAATTACGGGGAAGTGGAGTGTGCGGACTAATCTGACCGCAGTTAAGCAATATTTTTGCACTTCAATATTCATTTTGCAAGTTTGGAATTCAGAAAATAATATATTTTAATGTCTTGCTTATATTAAATAAACCTATAAAACAATTTATTAAATACAGTGTGATTCACAACTTATCCAAAAAAAAATTGGGAATAGATGCGGCATGATAAATGGAGTCAGTATCGTAAATAAAATTTTTGTAAAATCCTTATAGTTTCCGAGAAAAACATTATTGAAGTTATAGTACATTTAACCACTACATAGCTGGACAACTGTAGTCTCTAGCGTCATTCGCAATACGCGTGTAGAGCCACGTGGCCTCAGCGAATCCGAATACTGAAATCCGATTTTGCAATCGTCGTTGCGATAGTGTTTACCTGTTACCTGTGGTGTTTATAATAGTTTTTTAGTAGTTAGTGTCAAAAATGGTTTGCATGTAAAAGTAAAAGCAGTTGAATTTGCCGATATAAAATAGGTGCTATAAAATTCTATTTATTTCTTTCCTTGCGAAAGTTTTTGTCCGTTTTTATCACACCACTATGCCGGTCGCATTGTGCGAGGTCAGCAGGTCTTACCAGTTTCCAGTGACGCATGCCGTGCAGAAGAGTATTTTTAAATTAATTTGAAACTGCCCTTTTTGAATTTTTCTTTATAAAATTGTATTTGTAAGGGTCCCTTGTACATGCAGAATTTTTTTTTTTGGATATGTTCTGAATCACTCTGTATATTTATTGTTCTTTATATAATGTTAATTTATTTAATATTTGTCTTTTAATAGATTTCAGTAAATTAAATATTTTAACTTCACGATTTATTCTCACATCGATATACTTTTCACATACAGTCCTCGCAAGTTCTTATGCATATTTTTAAATATATTCACATTCAAACAGTTTTTTAATAAGAATATTATTATTTCTATTTGTTAAATTGTCATTTTTCTTTTTTAAACGACAATTTGCTTACCACTCTTGTCAAGTTTAAAGTTGGCACTGCATTTTTGGATAAATTTCTAACGCCGTTTTTATTAATAATGATAAACTTCCCCTGAAAATGTAAAAAACATTACATATTATTAATAACACATTTTGAAGGCGCCCAATTCTTTTTCTTCATGGCTTTGACCCATTCCAATTTCATTTCCACCCTCTTTAGGAAACCTCAGAATAAAAATAAGAAAATGGGTAATACAATTTTATTCAATAACTAATCACCTGTAATTTAACATTAATGTATGTTTATTATTGAAATTATATGTTGAGGGTTCAATATTTATATAAATAAAAATAATTATTTTTAATAGTAATAATGAAAATAAATACCAATTGTGATAAAAAACTAATTGTAAATAGCCGGTTGATAATATGAACATGTATATGTACATCAGTTAATAACATGGGCACTAAAAAAACATGAAGCCAACCCTGGAAATAAGTGCATGTGACACGGAGAATGAATGCTGCGCGAAGTGCCATAAATTATTTTTATATTATTACTTACCTAAAGAATGAAATTTCGGCACTATTGTGCTCAGATCTGCTATTACAATCGTCAACGATATACTTCCCCATGATTGCACAAATATAAACAATATACTTAATAAAATAGCAACAATGTTAACACAACGAATGTCTAACAGCGACTAAGAGAGCGAGGTTAGCTAGGCTGAAGTTAGGCTGACGGTTGACTTAGCCGGCTTGCCTCTACAGTTCAGTCTATTTTGTCTATAATTACAATTGGTTTTTAATTACAAATATCGTATTTGGATCAATATCAAATAATTTCACGTCTTTGGATATATAAAGTTTTTAAAACATAAATTGAGAATTATAAACAACTGGCGGGCAAATAGTATTGCTCATTTTTCAAAAAAAAAAAAAAAAACACCGGAATATGGCCGGGGTCCATAATGAGTTGTTGTTTTGAGTGCCTTTGTTCCTCTGATTCATTGAATATATTGACGATCACACTGTTAAATAGAATTTGATAAATAAAAATTCCTGTTTTCATTTTGAATTAGATTTTACTTAATTGTTGAAAAAGAATTGAGGTTACGAAAGGTAATAGTTAAAGAAGATAGGGAAAAACTACTATTTTATGCTTGTAATGAATGATCTAACCTGTCAGTTCATTGGTGAAATACCGCTTTCTATCAAATTTGTTGCTAAAATAACAGAATCTTACATAAACGAAATGTGAATTTTAAAACATTATATCTTATATTTTTTTATTTTATTTTATAAATTGTAGAAATCCAACTCCAGAGGAGACCAGTTTGATGCAAAACCTTATTTGGCCTAAAGTAAACAGCAGCTCTTTCCTGTATCTAGATATCGACGAAAACTTGGAAGTTAAGCTGAATCCAAAGAATGAATCCTACACTGGATGGGTAGATGTTTACGATACATGGGCTGTTAAACCATACGACACGTACTAAAAACGTGTATCAATATTTCTCAATAAATTTGTTTTCTTATTTAAATTGTAATTTAATGTTGATAACTCTTTCGATGTCATCATTTACCTTATTGATTCAAATAATGCTACTATTTTTACGAAAATTTCAGAGATGATGATATCTCTGAAACTCCGCCCGTGAATTAATTCATTTATCATCGCCATATTCAAACCATTAATAAAGCAAATTTTTATTAAACCTTTAACACCCTGTAGATCGCGAACTAAACATTTTCTGAATATGGTATATTAAGGAAATATATCACAAATCACTTGTACTATAACTTCCTGCAAGGAATGCATCGACTTACCAAACACCCTGTATATAAAAATGTGTTTTCGGGTATAAAAATTAAGGGCCCCATATTCTTTAAATAGTGTTTTCCGCAAAGACAAATAATTTCAAACATTTAATAACTGAATAATCTAAAGCTTATCAAATAATAGGAATGTTATGTTATGCCACCTGGGTATTTTCAGAGACGCCGCAGTAAAACGAATAAACAGGTGCAAAAAACGATCAAACCATCAAGGTTTTAGGTACTGAAATCTACGAAAATACTAACTTTTTTATATATAATTCCACATGTAAATATTCTTATAACATTTACTTGCTTAGTCCTACATATAAAATTGTTTACTTTTATTTATAAGTAAGTGAAAATAATTCTTAAAATGTGGGGTTAGAATAACAGCAAACGCATGTTTTACAAACGCTTTTTTTTTAGTTATTATTTTATTTGAGTAAATTTAAATGGTAACAATGAATAAACAAAATATCAAGGATTTTATTTTTGTGCTTAATTTTGTTCTACACGTTTTACTTTTAAAGATTTCAGTACCTAAAAACGCCAGAAATTTCACTATTTCTCTGCCAGGAATATGGCCACCTTAAAGATGGACTTCACCTTTCTATACAGTTTTTCCGCAGAAAGAAACACGTTCCCATTATTTATTTTTCTACTGTTTGTTTGTGAAGCATCATAGTTTCGTGCTTAGAAGCTTAAAACTCGAGCCACCAATATTCTTTTTATTTTTGAATTCTTAATAAATATTTCTGTTAAATTTTAATAATTCTCCTTAAATCAGTATAAACGGAAAATTTTGTATCAAAAAGTACATAATATAATGTCAAGGGTTGCAAACTTCTTTTAAAATGAACATAGCTAATGGTATCGATTAATCGATTAATGGTTGGTTTATTTTTTACTTGAATCAATTATTTATTTATTTCTCTTTTTTCTCGTGAATAATATACTCACATTCCAAATTTTAATTTCTAGAGAACATCGGATAATATACTTTTTAATTCTTTTTTTGTGAAACATCTTTTTTTATTAGATGTAATTTCCATTTTGTTTCATTCCAAAATATTTATTAGAACCCGAGATGTCACAGAAATACTGTTGCTGGGGGTAAACATGAGGGGTAGTTTGCATCCGTTTAAATCCGTTCGAGGCTAATAGGCTAATAAATTATTCGTATGATTAGAGAAAAAGTAAAAACTTTTTATTTTTCAATGTTATTTCTAATCGTACAGACATTTTTCGCACTAGAGGGTTGTTCACCCTCTAAAAAGAGATTTGAACGAAAACCCCGAAACAAGTTTTAATCATATTTTTAATTCTTTTTGGGAAAATATGAATTTTTTATATATAACAAATGTAATTTTTCTGAAATAAAAAATAAGGGTAGCAACCCCCAAACACGGAATCCTCTGTGAAACATTTGTTTTTTTATAAAAAGCAATTTCCATTTTGTTTCATTTCAAATTATTGATTCGAACCCCAGATATTTAGAAAAAACTGTTTTTTTTGGGGGGGGGCGAACTTTGAGGATGTATTTCACCCCCTAAATATATTTTTCCGACGATAAAAAAAATATGTCATTTAATTTTTAACAGGCCGTCCATTTTATTAGACAAATAACACGTACGTTAAACTATAGCGACACCAAATTCCTTGGCAATAAGAAACTCTGTTATAATTTAAGATAACGTGTTACAAATTATTTTGACGGAAGGTAAAATGCACTGGGCTTAATACTGACTCTTGTTTATAATAATTTTGCATTATTAAAAATGTCGACACAAAAGCGTCTTCAAAAAACAATAAAATTGCAATACGAGTCTTTGCTCGATTACGTAATAAAAAAACAAAATACTGCATACCGGTAAAACGAAGCCGTCAGAATTAAAGCTTGTTAATACTTTGAACATAGGTCTTTCAAAGACTGCAGAACAGTGGAAAAAAGAAAGTTTGATTTAACTTTTAATACTGGGATAGCAAAGGATAATTTATGTTAAAAAAATGTCTGAATGTTATAAATTTATTCCTCGCCTTTAAGAAACTGTTATAATTTAGGATAACGTGTTACAAATATTGTAATATGTTATATCTTAACAGTTAACGTTAACCTTAACGGTTTAACCCTGAAGTAACGTGGCTGTTATTATGATAAAATGGGATACATACTCGGCCTGAATATTTACTTCCGCCGTACGTTATTGCCTTCCTTTTTTCTATTCACTTTTACCGGATATTAATCTATTTAACCGTAACCTTAATTACTAAAGATTTCATTAAACCAACGTAAACTAAATACAGGTACAGCGTAACAATTAGAATTGTCGGGAGGGCAAACCAAGTTTAAGTAAACGATAGTTTGCAACTGCAACAGCCTGTGATCGGCAACTATTCCCTTGTAGAAGTTAGGCCGTTCCCTAGGGACCGAGTGGCGAACAGAATTGGGTTAACTGGATGTCCACAATGTGAAACTGTGAGACTGTGTTACTGAGAACCTGTGTAGTCTGAAAGGGTCAAATCAAATTATTCTGGAAGACTGTTTTACATTAAGCACTAAGTCAAGTTAGAGACTTATAGGGTGGCAGTGTCTTCGGTGAATTTTCTAGAAGCCAAATAGTTGTAAAGTCAACAATTATAAAAAATAAAAAATAAAGGAGGTTTATCTGATTTGGAATTGACGAACAAATATTCATAAAAAAATTAATATAAGCTTACTAATACGAATAAAATCCTCAAAATAAATTGTGACTAGTTTGGATACCTAAGAGACGAGATATTAATAAAATAATTTTTCACGATTTAGTACACGAGTCTTATGAGGAAGCAGATTTGTTTGGTCTTTCCACTTAGAATACGCAGCAATTGACAAACAGTTTTTACAGCAACTTGTATAAATAGGAAACCGATATCTAAGGAACCGTATGACAGCTCGTAGAAATCGATTAGGTACTTGCAAGACACATAATTTATAATAATTCTCCTTCAAACTGCTGTGTGATAGCGGCAACACCGCGGTTCTCGACGTAGCGTATTATTTGAAATTTGCAGGTGTGACATATGGTGTATATTTCAAGCCTAGGCATCCAAACAAAGCCAGCCAAGTGTAACGTTGCCAAATCTAAAGGCTTACTACTTTAGTCACTAGCGAATGTACTCTCGTTAGACTTTTAGACGTACCTCTGTAACCGATAAACCTCCTTTTAATTCATATTATCTGTTTTATATTCAATAAAAGAAAACATCTAATTTATTCATCATTTCGCCTTGAGAGGAAAAGGCATGCATGTTTATGTTCTGTATTTCTTATGAAACATACAAATGAAGAAAATCTAGACATTTTCGACAGAGTGCTTAATTTGGATTTTAAGTTTTCTTAGGCGTTAAAGACTTAATTCGAAATGGCATATGAGAAAGTAGACAGATGAAACGATAAAAAGGATATATCAATATATCAATAAAAAAGCATTTGAGAGATAAGAAACTGAGCAGCAAAAATAAATAGAGAATTTACAAAATGGCAATAAAACCATTAGTAATATACGCCGCCGAAACTATTATACTGAAAGCAGATGAGGAAGAAAAATGATATATTCTTCAACGAACAATAATGGGAGTAAAGTATAATATAAATAATAATAATATCTCTATCCCTCATTCTAATAGCAAAGATTAGCTCCCGTGATTAGCTCAGAAGTCCGACACTTGTGCGGAAGATGGGTTGGCACGTTATTATACAGTAGGCCGCATGTGCACCTAGGAACAACTTACGTTGGTAAGTCCTAATCAACATTCAGTGCAGGAATGAGTGAAATCTAGAAAACATCATTAATTCAAACGCCGCCCGGTATCAATCTCTCATATTGACCCAAGCCAACGTTCTTCCACCTTACCCATACCGCAGAGAGAGTGTCTAATTCTTCTCCACGAATATAGCTCATCTATTGATGTATTGAGTGTAGATTAAGTACTTCTCAAAAGATTTCCATAAATTTAACGTCCTATTATTAGAGCTTGGTTCATATAATAATAATATAATAATATCTCTACTCCTACGAGAATTAGCCCATAAGTCGGAGACTTGTGCGGGAGAGGAGGCGGCATATTATTATTATCAGGCAGACCGCATTTGCGCCCAGGAACGACTTATGTTGGTAGGCCCTAACCACCATTCAGTGCAGGAATGAGGGGAACCTGGAAAACCTCATTAATTGGCGGGTGGTCAAATGCCAACCGGTGCCAATCTCTCACATTGACCCAAGCCAACATTCTTCCACCCTACCATACCTGTACAGAGGGTGCCAATCCTCCGTAAAAGCATAGTTAATCTATGGTCTACCGGCCGCGGGAATCGAACCCGGGCAGAATTAGCACACATCGATTTAAGTACTGCCGCCTTAAACTGTGCGGCTACCGACCGATATCAATATAAAATTTTTCAAATTGTCAACTTACTACCACCAAATGTTAATAAATGTAATGTTAGATATATATTACATTAAGAAATCTAATAAAATAGAATTTGGTTCAATATACATAGAGAAAGATACACATATTCAATTCAAGAGAATCCCCATAAAAAGTACTCTGACTGACATTTAGTGATCTGGTGATCGATGTGGACATTTTCTTATTATAAATGAATTATATAGTTTTACAAAAAAAGTAATATTTAAATTTCTTTATTCATTGAATCATGAAAGAAGTCAAGTGAGATGAAATT